GCGAACATTCACCTGACGAACGCGAAGCACAAGCTGCTCACTTTCCGCGAACGCGAGACCTCAGACGCGAACGCGAATCACAAACTCAGGCCAACCCAATTTCCTTCTACGCGATCGCGAGGGACCTCACGCGATCGCGAAGGCTAATTCTTCTGCAACAGCTGATGATCAATTTCTGCAACATTTTTCAACTTCAAACTTCCCGTTAGCCATCCGAAATCACCCCGAGGCCCCCGGGACCTCAACCAAAAGCACCGACACCTCCTATAACATCATTCAAACTTGTTCCAATCATCAAAACGCCTCAAACAACACCAAAATCATCAAATTACATTGAATTCAAGCCTAAGTTCTTTTAAAACTACCGAAACACGCATTTGATCAAAAACCCAACCAAATCACCTCCGAATGACCTGAAACTTTGCACACACATCCCAAATCACATAACAAAGCTACTACAACTCTCGGAATTCCATTCCGACCCTCGGATCAAAATCTCACCTATCAACCGGAATTTGCCAAAATACTAACTTCGCCAATTCAAGCCTAATTCTACACCGGACCTCCAAAACCAATTCCGATCACGCTCCTAAGTCATAAATCACCCAACGAAGCTAACCAAATGATAAAAACTCCGATCCGAGCTCATATACATATAAGTCAACTCTTGGTCAAACCTTTCAAATTCCAAGCTTTCAACTGAGACTGTTCTTTCAAATTCTTTCCGATTTTCCTGAAAAACCAAAACCAACAGTCTACATCAGTCATAATACATCACACGGGGCAAGTCATGCCCGAGAACTGGCGAACAAAGTGCAAATGCTCAAAACGACCGGTCGGGTCGTTACACAAAGCAACACATATTGATTATTGTAGGACTCCAGGACATAATGTTCATAAATGTCCTGATTTGTTGAAGGATGAAAATAATATCCAGGACATATTTTTCGAATGTGCTAAACTTCTAGAAATCTAGACATTAAACTGAGATTTCCAGAAGTTAAGGAAATTTTAGAAATTTATGTCCTTAATATTAGATTCATTCTTCAATTTTTCAGGACGTTTCAAAAAATTATGTCCTGAAGTTTACTTGTACCAATCTCATTTTAAAAATAAGATGTAGTAAGCTGCAGGCGTCAAGTTTTATAAAGGAAAGGACTTTTGTTTACTTATGGCAAGAGTATAATCCCATACACAATAATTGGTCCGACAAAGGAAACTTGAGCTCCCAAAAAAAAGAAAAAGAAACAAAGAGCACGTAAGCACAAAGAAACTTTGAAAATTCAGGACATTATATATATAACCATCTGCTAAAGTTTACTTGCTCAAATAAAAAAAATCTAAATGAATCCAATTTATAGCAAAAACTTAAAAGATTAGATAAACATAAGTGAATATATATCTATAGTTCTCTATGCTTCCTTGAAAATGGGTGGACTGGCCGAGAATATATACAAGATGTTCTGTTATGACCAATTCTTCTGCAACGACCACATTTGAATATTATTTTTGATGATTCGGTAGCTGGAATATGCCTTTTCTTCTGTCTTCTATCTGGCAGGACCTTGAAATCTGGAGGTTTAATGATTTGTGACTTAACACTCTCTGGTACAATCCAAGAATCCGTATGTCTTGCAGGATGTATTTGTCTTTCATATATTTTCAGCCAAGATTCCTTTAAGTACCATTCAGAGTAGAAATTGGACTTCTTGATGTTTCTCTTCTCGATAGCTGCAATTGCATGTATTAATTCATCAAATTGAAACTGAAAACAATCACATGTTCTTTTGTTTAAGTCCACCAAGAAAGTATTTCCCTCTTCCTCAACTCTAGAACGCCATGAATCAACAGGGGAGACCTTCAAAGTTGAAAAACTATAAGTTAGTACATTATGTAAAATTATCATTAAAATAATAATCTAAAGTAAGAACATAACACTTACATTTAAAGTAAAATCTAAATATATCTTTTTCTTCAATTCCTCTTCTACCCAACATGAAACATCATAAAACGTTCCTTCCGCTTCATTTCTTTTTTCATAAAACCAACGTTGTAGCTTCACTTGGATGAAATACATCATTCTCAATATAGGCAGCTCCCTTGCTTCTAATAGCACAAAATTCATTGACTCAACTATGTTTGTTGTGAGCATGTCATATCTTCGTTGTGGACAACAAGAACGTGCCCACCTTTCCGGTGGTTCTACCATCAAGTAGTCAAAAGTCTTCTTATCAACTTTTGCTATCTCTGACATGTATAAATCAAATTCTTTGCGCCTGTATACTCTTGTAGCACTTTGAAAAAGTTCTATGACCTCATTTTTTACTTTCCTTCGCTTTAGGTTCTGCTCCAAATGATAGATACAAATCCCATGGTGGCTTTCAGGATATACCTTTGCGATGCCATGTGCAATAGATTGATGCCTATCTGATAAAAAAATTAAATTGTCATGGCTCCCAATTGCATTGTGAAGCTCACTAAAGTACCACTCATAGGAGTTGTTATTTTCAGATTCTGCAATCCTAAAGGCTAGTGGGAATATTTGGTTATTTGCATCCTTTGAAACTGAAATCATTAAAACACCACGATATTTTGACTTAAAAAAAGTTGCATCAACATCAATCACCGGTCTACAATGTTTCCAACCAGCTATTGATGTCACGACCCCAAATCCACTAAGGGTCGTGGTGGTGCCGGACATCGCTCTCAGGCAAGCCAATCAAGCTACTTAATCAAATTCTCATTTAAATATTTCCGAAAACACTTCTTTTATACATTTAAAACAATACATAGTAAGTTCCTCCGAATAAATAATGAAACATTTAACAACCTTTAAAGTTTATGAATAAACCCAAATACATCCCAGAACCCGGTGTCACAAGTACATGAGCAATTTCTAAGAAATAATATAATACAACATCCGTCCGGAATACAGTGGATAGAAAGTAAACACAATATACTAGAAGGGACTATACTAGCTGCGGGCCGCCTCGAATAATGCAACTCACCTAGTCCTCGAATCATCCGTGCTGCTGCGCCCAGTAGGCCACTAGAGTTACATATACCTGTGCAACAGAAATGCACAGAAGTGTAGTATGAGTACGAAAATAATGTGTACTCAATGAGTATCCCGTCTAATCTCGAAGAAGTAGAGACGAGATGGTCGACTTCGACACTTACTAATGGTCCAATAATGATGTCAATAATTCATTAAATCGTGAACTCTTATAAACATGATTTTTAATCCAAT